CGAACATCCCCCTCATATCCTTACTGTATGCACTATGTTCTATGTATGCACCTCACACCCCAGATTGGTTCTGGGGATGCTGTTATGATGTTGAGGCGGAGCCTCCTTGTACCATTGTACCATGCATATGTACAATAAAGTTGACTTCTGATTAAAAAAGAAAAAAAAACCTGGGACAAGTAGGGTTTTTTTGTTTTAAATTTCCACATCTCCACATCAGGACAGACCAGAATGAAAGGTGCAGCTGCAGCATGAGAGGTAGAAAGGATTCTAGCCTGGTTAGAACTCCATGTTTCAGCCTTGGCTGCCATTCACATTCGAGGAGTAGTCAGTTTGCAGGCAGACTACCTCAGCTGGCAAAGTCTGGGCCCGGGGAATGGTCCCCATGCACGAAAGTATTTAGAACTGGTGTCATAAGTGGGGGTACACCGGCCGTGATTCTCCTGGCCTCCAGGTTCAAAATAAACTGGACAGCAGTGGATGCTCTGGTGGCACTGTGGGATCAGTACAGCCTGATCTATGCCTTTTCACCTCTGAAACACCCTTATCATCTACTCCGAGCATTCCGGTAATCCACATAGCACTGAACTGACCTAGGTGGATCTGGTACTCTAACCTGATAAGTCTTCTGGCAGACACCCTGTGGGTTTTTCTGGATCGGCTGGATGTCCTATCCCAAGGACTGGTTTACCACCCTGCTTCACAGTCGCTGGCTTTATCCTATTCCAAAGACCATCAGCCTCCCATTCATTGGTTAAGACTTTTGTCCAGGGTGTCTCATGTGATGCCTCCTATACAGCCACCTGTGACCTTTTCCATTAAAAAGCTGACTTTCTTTGCCATGATGGTCTCTGTAAAGTGGAACCAGCTCCTCGCGCCTCCATTTCTTGTTGACTCAGACAGATCAATGTTCAACCCTATGGTCTTAAAGTGGGCCTTTACCCCTTTTACTAAAAATCATATTAGCATGCAGCTCTGTAGCCCGTGCCTAAGAGGTGCATCCTGGGAAAGTTACATCACAGTGTATTGCTGGGAAATCTCATATATGAACTGCAAAATCTCACAAGATCTCAGGGAAAGGCATTTTTCCCCGGAGATGATGTGCATGGTCACATGTCCTATTCACATGTAAAATAAAAGCAAATGGA